AAAAAAAAAAAAAAAAACAATTAGAAAGAAATGAAACGAAAAAGATACACAAACGATGGGGAAGGCACCCAACCCAGCCAGCCCATGTGTTTGAGCTTCGACTCGTACACCCACCCACGACGTGCTGATAGACAGTCCTGAGAGGTAACCCGAGGAATGAAATGACTTTTGCATTACCCGGGATTGGTCAGTTCGATGAGTATGCCTCAAGGTCGTTGCATGTAAAAATATTATAAAAAACAACGCCATTTCACACGCAAAATAGGTCATTGCATCTAATATACATCTAATATACACATAGCATCTAATATACATCTAATATACATCTGATATACATCTAGTATACATCTAATATACATCTAGTATACATCTAATATACATCTAATATAGTATTTTAATTTTATTTTTTATTTTAAATCTGGTAACGAATTTCGATGTGACCCTGCGGCAAAAGTTGTTCAGTTTATTTTTGTGCATCACATAGTTTTTTTTTTTTTTTTCTTTCGCTGGACCCTTCACTGGTTCTCACACGACCGGGGCAGCCCGGTCACATAGACGAGAGAGTCGGGCGGCCCGGATGGTAGTAGGCCAGATACGGTGTGCATTCATTATCTGCCACCTGCAGCAGAGACAATGAGGAGCGTGGAGAAGGGAGGGAGCGCTTTACCTGCAGGCAATTAGAAGGGAGCCTTTCACGATTAAGGAAATGAGATGCGAGAAGCAGGCTCGCCCTGGCAATGACAGAAGGCCGAAACTTCAGCAGTTCGTAGTCTAGAAGCGACATGCAACAGAGATACTCTGCCATCTCTTGCAAGCACCGGTCAGCATTGCCTGCCTGCAGATACATCCTGCCACAGCACAAGTCCCAAGAACACGTCAGAAGCCTCGCCGACAGGCATGGCAGGTAAGATTTACAGGGACAAAAAACATAAATGTGGGTGGCACAGTGTTTAGTGCACATTCCAAAACCCCTCGCAGATATGGCAGGCAAGAAAGTCCGCCAGCAGTGACATCCCGATGCACAAATCCCGAGTGCATGTCAGAAGCCTAGCAGAGAGACATGGCGGGTTATAGACATGCAGACGAAGAACCGTAAATGTTGATGTCAATGTGTTTTGTGCACACTCGAAAACCCCTTGCAGACACCTTTCCCTCGGCCTTTTGGCTAAAAATAGATCGAGTGTAGTACCTGTTGATTCTGTTCTGATCAGTTTAATATCTGATCCGTGGTCCATCGACCCACATTATTAAAAAAAAGAAAACAAAATTTGAAGACAGTTTAATATCTGATCCGTGGTCCATCAGCCCACATTATTAAAAAAAAATAAAAAAAAAAAATAAAAACTTACCAGAGGAAAGTGTGAGCTGTAGGCATATGGCAGTCGAACTTGAGTACGCGGAGCACCTTAGTCTCCATCATGAGGATATGCTTGGGAGTCAGTGTGTGGTCTACCACTTCGCAGCAATCCTGCAGCATGCTGATGGGACAAATAACAGCGCCCACACACACACAACCGGGGGCAACGCCAGAGTTGCAAACGCGCGCACAAAGGAGCATAGGTCTCAGCTTATTCGTCTTCTCACTCAAAACAAAAGTCGAATCATCACAAATGTCACACATTTCTTCCGAAGCACGTGGATCGACCAAACACCAGAACAAAAGTCAGTTCAAGAGAGAGAAAGGGAGATATGTTTATGTGGTGTCCAAAGGTACACAGTAGTACACAGTATTGCACACATCCGATCTGTGCTCAAGTGCAATCTCGACAACTTTTTTCTCTGAAGAAAAACATAGGCTGTTTTCCATGAGTGATAAATGCATCCCCTGGCTACAAGTAATACATACATATTTGTGCGTAGAAAAGGCTCTGTGCATGTGTGAGTACCTTGGTGTGTTTGTGTGCGTCAGACACACACACACGCACGCACACACACACACGCACGCACACACACACACACACACACAGAGTGAGAGAGAAAGAGAGAGAGCATCTTCGACAGCGAGTAATAATACGACAGAGTGGAGGTGAAAGGAGCGTAGAGTTTGTTGCATAGAGTCGCACAGAGAGAGAGAGAGAGAGAGAGAGAGAGAGAGAGAGAGAGAGAGAGAGAGAGAGAGAGAGAGAGAGAGAGAGAGAGAGAGAGAGNGAGAGAGAGAGGGGGGGGGGGGGGGGGGGGGGGGTTAGGGAGTTGGTGAGAGGAGGGAAAGCTGGTGCTCTTGCTTTTTTCTGGACACTTACTTGGGACTAACAGTCTCTTCAAACTTGACTGCAACAACCATGCTCGCCACCCCCAACAATTGAAGTAGACTTCGCGGCAGAGGCGTCTGCTCATCTGCCAGATATCGATCGAGTATCGCAGCGCCCAGGAACAGGCTCTCCAAGCGCAAATGAAACTCTATCACGAACTGCACATAACGAATCCAAGCCAACCAAAAGGGCACACAAACGGACACCAAAACAACGATGCTAACAGATCAGGAGGCACCAAGTCAAGGAGCACGAATGGAAAAAAAACTGTTTTATGGACCCCCCCCCCAAAAAAAAAAGCAACAAGGGCAAAAATGGCTCTGCTTTGTGTGTGCCTGTGTTCTTTTTTAAAACCAAAATTCTCTTTCTTCCATCCAAGAATCACCACTGTGTGTGCGTGTGCGTGTGTGGTCTGTGTGTTGTCTGTGTGCGTCTGAGAAAGAGAGAGTCATAGGCAAAAGGATCCATTGAATTTCATTCTGATTAATCAAATTGCAAGGAACATGAGTATGGACGAAGCACAGAAATCCAGAATGCGAAATCACACTGAAGTCCAAGTATTCAAAGCCAAAGCAGATAGCACATGGAACCAAGTAACCATCCCATTGAGAATGATACAGAAGAATCGTGAGTCAATGTCCATGCCCAACAGGGCAACACCAACAGCATAACCCAAATGTAGTAACCATCCCATTGAGAATGATACAGAAGAATCGTGAGTCAATGTCCATGCCCAACAGGGCAACACCAACAGCATAACCCAAATGTAGCTCTCTCTTGTGAATGGCTCCAGGCGCCCTATCTACTCTACAGCCTATCCTACAACTACAGCAATGAACAGCAACCAGACAACTTGACTACCAGCGAGTGATGATGTCAACACCAATGCAGACCTCCACCATCACCAGCTACGTGTCCTCTTCCCCACACTCTCCCTTGTTACCCACACAGCGCCCTTCACCTCCAAAGTACCACCTTCGCCCTTCACCCCTCTGCGCCCTCTGCAGCCCGGCTATGGCCGCCAAGCGCCCAGTGCACAGGCAGCGCCCTACCGCCTAGCGCATGCCTGCCTGCCTTGCACTACCTCTTAGCGCAGCGCAGCAGCCAGCAGCTTGCATTTGCTCAGCGTGCCGGCATTGCCCGCAATGGCCAAGATCCCTGCTGCCTCGCCCTGCTTGCCTATATGCCAGTGCAGCGTGTGGGCGGCCTCCCTTCAGCCTGTGACCGGGGCCCAGAGGCTGAAGCCAACTCGATACAGTTGGGCCCCGGGGCAATGCAGTTGCGCCTCCCTCATCAAGGCCTGCGGCCAGATTCAGACAGTGGGCCGATTTCCCTTTGGCATTTTCGGCCTCTCTGCCCAGCATGCATTGTCGGCCTCACATTCGAGTGCCCAGGGCCTAACTAACTCAGAGGCCCTGGGCATTTCAGCATTTGCTGAAATCCGAGACCCGGTGCACTCCAACCAACTGGCGTGCTGCAACTGTATAGACCCCATTTCGTGAAATGTTGGCACAGAGGGCTCTTGTTGATTTGCTGGCCCGCCTTCCCTTAGGGCGGGCACTAGGCTTGCTGGGGCCTTAGCCCAGAACATGAACACCATGGCAAGGCCCCTACTTGAGGGCTCAATCCTCACAAATTACATAATTACTTAAAAAATACTCACTTTATCCCACGTGGAAAATCTTATCAATTGTTTAATTTAGGACAAATTTACACGGAGCATGTCCTTACCAACCGTTTTATCATTAAAATTAAAAACGAGTATTCATTTCACAGACAGAGAGCGAGACACAAAGACAGACACACACACACAGAGACACAGTGAGAGAGAGAGACAGGCAGACAGACACACAGACAGACACACAGACAGACGGACAGACAGACAGACAGACAGCAGACAGACGGACGAACGGACCGGACGACCAACCAACAGACAGACAGACAGAGAGGCACAGAGAGAGAGAGAGAGGGAGGGAGAGAGAGAGAGGGAGGGAGAGAGAGAGAGAGAGAGAGAGAGAGAGAGAGAGAGAGAGAGTGGTCCCTGCCCGCACACATACCTCCATCAACCACTTCATCATCATCCTTCTATGCAGGGCAGCTATGTGCGGCTGCCGGCACGGTGACAGGTATCCATAAGGCAACGGTCGACGGCTCTCCCTCTCTAGATAGTTCGTCAAGATGTCTTCCTCATACTCCAAACATTTCTGTGGTGGTCCCCGCACCCATGTGTTGGTTCCAACAAAGGGCAGAAACGAATGTCAGCAAAATAATAAAGAAATAAAGGCTCTGCTTGCAGGGAGTGCGGGTGAGAGGAGGGGTGCTTGCAGGGTTAAGGGCTGTCTCTTATACACATCTAGATGTGTATAAGAGACAGGACTAGAATCGCTCGACTTCGTGACGACCCCTG